TGTCAGTGGTTAACCTTGCATTTTTTAGCAAAATAGGGCAAAATCAGGTGTTTATGGAAAATTTCGCACTGTAAGGGGTTAACTTGCAGTTTTAGCAAAATTGGGCAAAATCAGATTTGTATGAAAAATCTAAAATTGTAAGGGGTTAACCTTGCCAAATTAGGGCAAAATCAGATGTTTCTGGAAAATTGCAGATTAAAAGGGGTTAACCTTGCCTTTTTAAGCGAAATTGGGAAAAATCAGATGTTTCTTGAAAATTGAAGATTGTAAGGGGTTTACTTGGCATTTTGTATAACTGGGCAATATCACTTTATATGAAAAATCTCAAATTGTAAGAGGTGAACTTTGTATTTTTAGCGGAAACTTACACCTGGATTTTTTAGAAGCATCTGATTTTGCCCAAATTTAGTAAAATACGCTCCAAATTTTGCTAAAAAACAAGGCTAAACCCCTTACCATTTTAGATTTTTCACACCATTTTATCTGATTTTGCCAAATTTTACTAAATATACAAGGTACACCTCTTACAATTTAAAATTTTTCATAAACATTTCTTTTTGCCCAATTTTGCTTGAAATACAAGGTTAAGCCCTAACAATCTGCAATTTTCCAGAATCATCTGATTGTGTCCTATTTTGCCAAAAAAAAAATGCAAGGTTAACCCCTTACAATTTGAATTTTTTTCATGAAACATCTAATTTTTCCCAATCTCATTCAAAAAGCAAGGTTAATCCCTTACAATCTGCAATTTTCCAGAAACATCAGATTTTTTTCCCAATTTCGCTTAAAAAATGCTTATAATTTGAAATTTTTCATAAACATCTAACTTTGCCAATTTTCACTAAACAAGCAAGGATAATCCCTTGCATCTGAAATTTTTCCAGAAACATCTGATTTTGTCCAATTTTGCTAAAAATGCAAGGTTAAACCCATTACAATTTGAAATTTTTTCCATAAACATCTGATTTTGCCCTATTTTGCTAACAAAAATGCAATCGGAACCCCTTACAATTTGAAATTTTTCATAAACATCTAATTTTTTACCAAATTTCACTAAAAAAAAAGTAAGGTTATATTCCTTACATCGGAATTGTTTTTCAGAAACATCTGATTTTGCCCAATTTTGCTAATATATGCAAGGTTCACCCCTTACAATTTGAGATTTTTGATAAAAATAACATTTTGCCCAATTTTGCTTAAAATGCAAGGTTAACCCCTTTCAATCTGCAATTTTCCAGAAACATCTGTGATTTTGCCCTAGTTTGGCAAAAGTTAAACCCCTTACAATTTTTGATTTTTCATTACAAATCTGATTTTTCCCCAATTTTGCTAAAAATGCAAGGTGAAACCCTTTACAATCTGAATTTTTCATGCACATTAAAATTTTCCACAATTTTACTAAAAAAGGAAGGTTAAACCCCCTTACATTTGAAAATTTCAGATGTAAGGGGGTTAACCTTCTTTTTTAGTGCCTTAATTTGGCCAAAGGTTAACCCTTAACAATTTTTATTTTTCATACAAGTCTGATTTTTCCCAATTTTGCTAAAAAAGCAAGGTTAACCCCCTTACATCTGAAATTTTTCAGAAACATCTGATTTTGCCCAATTTTGCTAAAAATGCAAGGTTCACCCCTTATAATTTGAGATTTTTCATGAAAATCTGATATTGCCCAGTTTTGCTAAAAATGCAAGGTTAACCCCTTTCAATCTGCAATTTTCCAGAAACATCTGATTTTGCCCTAATTGGGCAAAGGTTAACCTCTTACAATTTTTGATTTTTCATACAAATCTGATTTTTCCCAATTTTGCTAAAAATGCAAGGTGAAACCCCTTACAATCTGACATTTTTCATAAACACCGATTTTGCCCTATTTTGCTAAAAAATGCAAGGTTCACCCCTTACAATTTGAGATTTTTCTTAAACTTTTAATTTGCCCAATTTCGCTAAAAATACAAGGTTCACCCCTTACAATTTGAGATTTTCATATAAATCTGATATTGCCCAGTCATGCTAAAAAATGCGAGGTTAACCACTGACAATTTGAGATTTTTCATAAACATTTAATTTGCCCAATTTCGCTAAAAATACAAGGTTCACCCCTTACAATTTGTGATTTGTCATGCTAAAAATGCCAAGTTAACCCCTTACAATCTGAAATTTTTCATAAACATCTGATTTTGCCCTAATTTGGCAAGGTTTCACCCTTACAATTTTGATTTTCATACAAATCTGATTTTGCCCAATTTTGCTAAAAATGCAAAGTTAACCCCTTACAATCTGAATTTTTCATAAACACCTGATTTTGCCCAATTTTGCTAAAAAATGCGAGGTTAACCACTGACAATTTGAGATTTTTCATAAACATTTTAATTTGCCCAATTTCGCTAAAAATACAAGGTTCACCCCTTACAATTTGTGATTTTTCATATAAATCTGATATTGCCCAGTCATGCTAAAAAATGCCAAGTTAACCCCTTGCAATCTGCAATTTTTAAGAAACAGCTGATTTTTCCCAATTTCGCTTAAAAAGCAAGGTTAACCCTTTCAATCTGCAATTTTCCAGAAACATCTGATTTTGCCCTAATTTGGCAAGGTTAACCCCTTACAGTGTTTGATTTTTCATACAAATCTTATTTTGCCCAATTTTGCTAAAAATGCAAAGTTAACCCCCTTACCATCTGAAATTTTCCATAAAACACCTGATTTTGCCCTATTTTGCTAAAAAAATGCAAGGTTAACCCACTGACAATTTGAAATTTTTCATAAACATTTAAAGTTTCCCAATTTTACTAAAAAAGAAAGGTTAACCCTTTACAATTTGAAATTTTTCATACACATCTTATTTTGCCAAATTTTACTACAAAAGCAAGGTTAACCCCTTTCAATCTGAAATTTTTCCAGAAAGATCTGATTTTGCCCAATTTCGCTAAAAATACAAGGTTCACCCCTTACAATTTGAGATTTTTCATATAAATCTGATATTGCCCAGTTATGCTAAAAAACGCCAAGTTAACCCCTTACAATCTGAAATTTTCCAGAAACATCTGATTTTGCCCTAATTTGGCAAGGTTTAACCCCTTACAATTTTTGATTTTTCATACAAATCTGATTTTGCCCAATTTTGCTAAAATTGCAAAGTTAACCACTGACATTTGAGATTTTTCATAAACATTTAATTTGCCCAATTTTGCTAAACAAAAATCAAGCAAATTACCACTGACAATTTGAAATTTTTCATAAACATTTAAATTTTCCCAATTTTACTAAAAATGCAAGGTGAACCCCTTACAATCTGACATTTTTCATAAACACCCGATTTTGCCCTATTTTGCTAAAAAATGCAAGGTTCACCCCTTACAATTTGAGATTTTTCATAAACATTTAATTTGCCCAATTTCGCTAAAAATACAAGGTTCACCCTTACAATTTGTGATTTTTCATATAAATCTGATATTTCCCAGTCATGCTAAAAATGCCAAGTTAACCCCTTGCAATCTGCCAATTTTTAAGAAACACCTGATTTTTCCCAATTTCGCTTAAAAAAAGCAAGGTTAACCCCTTTCAATCTGCAATTTTCCAGAAAACATCTGATTTTGCCCTAATTTGGCAAGGTTAACCCCCTACAGTGTTTGATTTTTCATACAAATCTTATTTTGCCTAATTTTGCTAAAAATGCAAAGTTAACCCCTTACCATCTGAAATTTTCCATAAAACACCTGATTTTGCCCTATTTTGCTAAAAAATGCAAGGTTAACCACTGACAATTTGAAATTTTTCATAAACATTTAAAGTTTCCCAATTTTACTAAAAAAGAAAGGTTAACCCTTTACAATTTGAAATTTTTCATACACATCTTATTTTGCCAAATTTTTACTACAAAAGCAAGGTTAAACCCCTTTCAATCTGAAATTTTCCAGAAAGATCTGATTTTGCCCAATTTCGCTAAAAAATACAAGGTTCACCCCTTACAATTTGAGTTTTTTCATATAAATCTGATATTGCCCAGTTATGCTAAAAAA